AAGGAGAGACAGACTGACACCGGTAGGAAAAGCCAGCCGACTTGGTCTCAGAGGGACGTGGAAAGGCACGCCAGGGCCTTGGCTCACCTTGGAGGCCAGCTCTGACCTTTGACACAGGATTTTGGGTTTTGTACAAGAGAAGGATATGAAGCAGGGGGGCAAGCAGGCCAGGCAGTGAGGCATTCGACTCAGTCATGGACGCGCCTCTACATGAGGATTTGGGGCAGAGAGGAGAGTGGATGGAGTAGACACTCGTGCCCAGGGCCAGGTCTGGGAGGCATGCAGTTGTGCCATGGCACAGAGGGCTGTGAGACAAGCAGAGGTGCAGACACTATGGCCTGGCATAGAGGAGGGCACTGTGCTTGCTGCCAGCTCTACAGATCCTTCACCTCCCTAACGTCTGTCCTGGCAGGGCCCTGGCCTGGTGCCGCTTGTCCAGGGACCTAAGGAGATAGCTAAGTCCGTCCCCACACCACTGGGTCTGCATCCACAGCATTCTGGAGAATTCCCTGCTTGCCCTTTCACTCTGGTATAGAGGTGGGGGGGCCTTCAGTTTGCTGGGGATCATGTTTATGAACTTCCCAGTGGGCTAGGGGCCATCCTCCCCATGCGGCTGGAGCGGCTGCTCCCACTGCCCTCTACACCCAGCAGACCCTTCCATGCTGCCCACCCTGCCCCGTCGTGGCTCCTACTGGAGCTGACTTGGACTTTATTGCAAGGATGGGGATGTCCACAGCCCATTGAAACTCTGGCTGCTGAGGGAGGGAGTGGAAATGGCCCTCCAATATTCAGGAGAGCCGCCTGTGCCTCAGAGAGGCCCAGCGGGTCAAGGCCCACTAATACCTATTTTTTTTTATTAGTATAATTTTCATTCCTTAATATTTCTTTTAAAATTGGAGTTTCAAAATCTCTCCCCTTCTCCCTGCCCATCCCCACAGCGTCATTGAGACGGCTGTATTTGCAGTCATGCAAAACAGAGCCATAACACTCATGGTGGGAAAGAAAACATAGACAAAAAGAGTCAATACAAATAAAGAAAGTGAAAAAAAAGAGTTGCTTCAATTTCTCTTCAGACACCATCAGTGTTCTCTCTCTGGGGATGGATAGCATTTTTCATCCTAAGTCCTTCAGCGTTGTCTTGGATTCTTCCTTGTAGTGCTGAGAAGAGCTAAGTCATTCCCTGCTGATCGTCTACAATATTGCTGTGACTTTGTACCCAGTACATTTCACTTGGCATGAAACCTGTGTAAGTCTTTCCAGGTTTTTGGAGAGCATCATGGCTATCACTTCTTGTGGTATTTATATGTTAGAAAAATTTGGTCTTTAGCAGAGAAACTTGCTTCGAAAATCTTTTGACATTTCATATTGCTGCGTGTATTTCTTTCTTTCTTTTTTTTTCTTTTTGGTTAGGCAAAGGGGTTAAGTGACTTGCCCAGGTTCACACAGCTAATAAGTGCTATGTGTCTGAGGTTGGATTTGAACTCAAGTCCTCCTGATTCCAGCGCCAGTGCTCTATCCTCTGTGCCACCTAGCTGCCCCAGTTCCATCCTATTCCCTACCCGCATTTCTTCTGTTCTCTCTCTCTCCTTTCACCACGTCCCTCTTCAATTGTTTTCTTTCTGATTACCACTTACCCCCATTTGCCCTCCCTTCTTTCACCTGCCTTCTCTGAAAAACTTCACCTTCTATTTTCCTCTAGGGGAAGATTCATTCCTATACCTCTTGCCTGTGTATCTTCTTTTCCAGTTACATGGGAAAACAATTTTAACATTTCTAGTTAAAACTTTGAGTTCCAAGTTTTCTCCCTTGCTCATTCCCCACCCACCCTCACTGAGAAGTAATTCAATATACCTTATACCTCTGTAGTCATGTCAAACACTTGCATAATGGTGATGTAGTGAAAGACTAACTACATTTCCCTCCATCCTATCCCACTCCCCTGTTTATTCTATCCTCCCCTTTCACCTTGTCCTTCCACAAAAGTGTTTGCTTTGACTCCCCACTTCCCAATCTGCCCTCCCTTCTATCACCCTACCTCTTTTCCCCTTCTCTCCTACTTTCTTGTAACAGAATAGACATTTCCATACCCAATGCAGTTGGGATGCTATTCCTCCTTATACCAATTCCAATGAGAAGAAGTTACACTCCTTTTCTGTCACTTCTCCCCACTGCCCCTCCACGGTTCAAGCTTTTTCTTACCTAATTTACCCTATTCTACCTCTCCCTTTCTACTTCTCCCAATACATTCCCGTTTCACTCCTTCGCTTTATCTTTTCCATATCATCCTTTCATATTCAACTCACCCTGTGCTCTCTCTCTATTTTCCCTGCCACCACCTTTATCATTAGTAGGGTCTCATCAGTTACAAATATCATCTTTTCATTTTTCCATTTCAGGAAATGGAAGGATTCCTCACAGGTTTTTGGCTCTTCTGCCTTTCCACCTCCTTATTCTTTGCCACCCCCGTCCCCGCACCACAGAGGTCTATAGCATCTCTGTATTGAACACCCACAAAGGCCTACTCTAGGCCTACTAGATGCAGTGGATTGTCTTGGGATAACAGTGGGAACTAGGTTAGCTTGCAATCCTTTTGCCATTGTCTTTTTAGGAGGCAGAGGTCTGTTAGCCTCACTTTCCATTCAGTACTTTAGAGAAGGTGCATTGGTTCATCATGTAGGTGGGAAGTGCCTCATGAAGAAAGGCATTTGCAACCTCAGTGGGACAAATGTTTGATCAGACTCTGAGCACTTCTCCACCTCGGGTCAATGGAGTGGTGTGCTTGCATGGTGAGAGCAGCAATTGAAGGCACAAAAAGATTCGGTTCTTGCTTAAGCTGCCAGGATCAGAGATCCCTTGGAAAACAGAGCCCTCTGAGCAGCTAATGTTCACTTCGATCAGAGAAATGCTGCCAAGTGAGCTCAGATTTTAGCAAAGCTTTTGACGAGTCACAGATGCCAGGTGGATTTGGAAATAGTTAAGGGGTTCAATGAAATGAGTGAACAGGGAAGGGAAGCGGGCATTCTCCCTAACCTAACCTGTCAGCCAAAAAGTACTGCATTGAACCCCAGTTCATTCGAAGTTGACATTAGTTAGAGTGTCTGAAGGGCCAGAAGAATCTTTTCATCTGGTTTGGAAGTAGAGAGATATGGGCTCAGAACTTCTGTAGAGTAATGGGACTATCCTTGGGGCCCCACAGCCCTATTTCTGCCCACTCTGGATGGGGTGACAGGAAACCCAGCGGCGTCTGCAGGCCTCCTTCCATTTCTGGTTTACTCTCCATGGAGTTCCTTCTTCCCCAGTCTGCCTCTCCTTGAGACATCTGTGGGGACTGCGTGGTCAAGCCGTGGCTGGCCACAATTCTGCTCTGAAGGAAGACTATTTTCAACAGCCTAAGGAACAGGCTGTCCTGAGGGGATGCTCTGACACTGAGATTCCAGCCTCGGGATGGGGAATTCCCATCTGCAAGGCACTTGCTCCCTTCTAACAATTTCCCAGCAGCCTGCTCTTCTCTGGCAATCAAGACTCTGATGCTCCAGGGCCCTTTCCATTCTGACTTTGCCGGTGGCTGCCCAGGATCTAGGCCAAATGCTCCACCTCCTTGGGCATCCTCTGGCCCCCTCTGCAGCCCTGGATCTCCAAGACAGAGCTTGGGCTTGGCTCCATCTACTGCCCAGTGCACTCCCCCTACCCCCAGGCCTCCCTCAGCAGAACAGAAGGTGCCCTTTGAACAGGTGGTTTCCACCACAATCCTGCCTCTTTGCCCCCACTGCTCCAGCAGGTGGCTTCAACAGCAACCTCCCTGTGAGGAGTAGATAGAAAGCAAACACAGATTCAAGAGAAAATTCTTTGTTTTTTTTCCCCTAGGCATGAATGAGAATCTATCCATTACAAAATACAACTAGAGAATTCCACAGTCATCTTTGTGATGGGAATGAGCGAAGTCCCTCTATGGAGGTTCCTATGTAGAGCTCCTGAAATGCCAGCTTCCTGGGGAGGGGACAAAAGCAGAGGGAGCAGACGGGGCTGAGGGGCAGCTGGGGTCAGCCCCGCACCTACTGCTGCTGGTCCCTGAAACCTACAGAAGAGTGGGCCCCTCTGCTGGCTTCAGGACCCAGTGGCCAGCCCTGTGGTGTGAACCGCTGCCTTCCCTCCTGATGGTAAGAGGGAGAAAGGACTGTGATGCCATTGTGGGCATCAGTGCTTGAAGGGTACCCTGCCCGGGAAGCTGGGGCTGCAGTGAATTTAACTCTGGGCCTACAGGGAGGCAGCCAGAAATGAAGCCCTTAGCTGTTCTATCTGAGAAAAAAGAACCTTGAACTACATCTCTGTACCAATAGAAACACTTCTATCTCTATACATAATAATCTGAGGTTCAGTGGGCCAAAACATTTGCCTTCCCTCTCCCACACCAGCCTTAACGGCAAAAAGCTCCCCCCAACCCAAACCCTATCCCCATAAACTTAATACCTGCTCATATGCTAACCAAGCTCAAAAGGAACTAGATTCAGAGGTCAGAGTAAGAGCCTGATGAGCCTCCAATGCCCTGTTTCCCTGTAGAGGCACTTGGGCCATGTGAGGTGCAGCTCAGGGATAAAGGGCAGCTTTGACTCAATGCCTACCCTACAAGAGGCCAGGCAAGGACCCTTCTCCTCAGGCTCCTGGCCAGTCTCCTCCCCACCATAGCCATATCAGCTGGAGCTGATGGTCCCAAAGGAGAGACCACAGCCACTGAGCTTCAGGTCAGGAGGTGGAAGAAGGCATGGCTAAAGTGGAAATGTAGAGTCTCTGGGCCGCCGAGGAAGGCAGGAGAAACCTGGCAGCAGTAGGAGAAGGGAAGGCGCTCTCCCCATGGCCCCTGGCTGCACTCTGAGCCCCCTTCTTTGTCAGCTTTATCTAACCCACGACTAATGTTCTATCTAACAGTACTAACTTCCACTGCAGTGCAAATGAAACCCCAGTGGGTACAAGGGGCCAACTAGCTATGGCTACAACCATGGTGACGAGCTGTTTCTAAATGCCACTGCAGGTGATCTTGGGTGAAAACTTCCCCCAAATGCCGGTTGTTGGCCTTGTGAGAAGCAAAGGCTCAGCCGGTTGTCTTCTCCATCTCTGAGTGGGCCTGGTGGGCCAAGAGGGCTCCGCGGAGGTTTTGTCTCTGTCCCAGAAGGCACAGTGGGCAGAAGAGATTAAGCGGGGGCAGGGAGGAGGAGGTGAGAGAGCTGCTTTGTGGCGGCTGAAGGAGGAAGGGGTGAAGGCAGCAGGCTGGGGCGGGGCTAAGTGGCAGGCTTCCCATGGACCCTGAAGCGGTAAATGCACGTATAGTCAGGGTGACCCCAGTTGCTGAGGATTCGCAGCTCTACCAGCTGGTATGGGGCTGTGTCGTTGCCCTGTGGGGAGAAGAGAGTGGGGTCAGGAAGGCCTGACATCCCTTGGTGCAAGCCCTGCCCCCACAGCCTTTGTGCCCCAGTCTTCCTTCAAAGAGCAGTGGCTCAGTTAAGTCACAAGGTTTTCCCTCAGCTTCCTATCAGATCCAAGGGGTCCTGGCTTCCACTGCAGCCACTGAAAAACCACAGCAGCCCTGTGGCCAGTGATCCTGCCTTCCAGATCACCAGCCTTCCTGGGACACTGGCGGACTGCTGTGGGAGCCTCCCTGCATACCTCCAAGTGGAAGGTCTGAATGGCCTCCCCAGCATTATCGTAGGTGAACTGCCCGAGGGCCACCCCGTCTGCCTGAGAATCTTCATTTAGCCCCTGTACAGAAGGAAAAGCAAAGGGAGGGGATGGATGGTCAGATGAATGGATGCCAGGCCTGTGCACAAATAGCATGCTGTTAGCACATGCATCCCAATCAATGTAGGGAAGGAAAGGAGTGGGGAGGCTGTGGGGGAGGAGGAAGAGGTGGAGGAGGACAGGCTGGAGGATGCAGTAGCAGCAGGATAAGTTGGGGAGGGGATAGGAGAACCAACAAAAGCCACCATGAGGTTGCCTTCCTTGATCCCCTCATCTGCTAGCATCTCTCTCACTAACTCAATAGACAGAGCCTTTGCCCTCCATGCCCTTGGCCTCCCTCTCAGCTTCTTCCCCTAAGCCTCTGAATGGCTTGGCACAAGCCACTAAGTTGTGTGAGCCTCAAGTTCTTCATCTGTATCTGGAATGGGATCCTAAAGTGTCCCTCTTGCCTCCATTTGTCACCTTCTGCTCTGGCTCCCTCTTTTCTCTCAAATCCTCCTCAGGTGGATGTTCCAGTTCTGCCCTGAGTGGTGACTATGTAGGGCATGGTGGTCACCGTCCCAGACCAGCTCCACCATGGCACACGTGGCCAGGGAGGCAACTTGCTGTGGAAAATGTCCTTGTGGTAGCAGTGTCATCTTGGCTCTTCTGGCTGCTGTCATTGTCCTTTCCTGGTTCCTCTTGAAGAAGAGGGGGAGGAGCAGAAGGGCTGGGCCTGGAGTCAGGAGACCAGCCTCAATGTCACACGTGTCAAATGGGCACACCGTCGCATTCCTCAGCTGGCAATGCTGCTGTGAAGAAACCACTTTCTGCCACTCTAGAAAGGAGAGCTGGGAGGCTCAGGTACTCACCAAGATGACAAAGTCCTTTGGGGCACTGGGGATGTCAGCGGTTGGGGACAGAGCTTTTGGCACGTGCTCCAAGGTGATGGCAGTGAGCTGGATGCGGGCAGACAAGCGCACCACGACGAAGCCCTGGTGGCCCCTGAATGCCCAGCAGTTGCCAGGGTAGACGTCTGGCTGTGGGCACAAGACAAGGCAGGTGAAAGGAGGCAGCAGATGGAACAGGTCCTGGTGGTGGGGCCACTCTGCCTTGGGAGCCCAGCCTCAACAGAGGACGCTGAGACATGGGACATAGAGAGGCAAGCTGGGGGACCTTTGTTCAGCGCTACCTGGAGGATGAGTCTTGGGGACTGGAAATAGCGCCACAAGGGGATGCCAAAAAGAGTGAAATGGCCAGACCACTCCGTCCTCATGCCATAGTCGTGACGAGCGGCGGCTGACGATGCTGGCCCCTGAAAGAGCAACAGGGAAAGGAGTGGGGGGAGACCTGAGGGCTGGGAGGACCCAGAGATGGCCTGAGGGAGCCCTCAAGGTGAGGGGCGCTGCCTGGCCATCAGCCCTCCTAACTGCCCCGGCCCATAAGGGGCATCTTCATTTGTCAATTCCTCCTGTCTCTTCAAGTCCATCTTGATTTTCCAATCCCTTTTGTCCCAAGCCCTCTGGCTTTCTGCAGGCCACCTACCTGAAGATTCCAGGGCATAATCCACCAGCCCGATGCGATCTGCACTGTACTTTTTCAGTGCCTGCTCTACGATCTGGTGTACTTCTAAAAGACAGGCAAGCACCATTCAGGGGATGGGCCACCTGCAGGGCTGGCCCAGTCCATGCGGGGCCGGGCAAGTGAGCTACCTGGTCTGCCAGGGTTTCCCCCTCCCTCCTGGCAGCCTCCTCTCAGGGCAAACCAGTGACCCCAGCCAGGAAGATAGCGAGTGGGGCAGACCTCACCTCCTTTGTCACCCCACTGGTCACTCCTTCCTTCACAAGGCTCAGCCTCAAGATGGCAGCAGCTTTGCCCGCACACTTATCCTGCTCCTCTGTCACATACCTCAGGATTCGGTGCTCTAGGTCACGAAGCTGGGCCTGCACCTCCCCTAGCTTCAAATGAAGGACCTGCTGAATCCAGCCAGGGACCTTAGACTCCACCTGGAAGCCACCAGACGAAAGAGCTCAGCAAAGCCCTGAGCACCAGCAGAAATGAGGAAGCAAGAGGGCCTGGACAGGGGGCCTGGGGTGTCTAGAGTCACTCTGAGTTCTGGGGTCAGCACATGCCAGCTTGGTGTCAGGGAAGGGTTGGTGAACCAAGCGACTGGCATTTCTCCACTGCTTAATAATCTCATTGAACCCTCTAGGGGCTGTTATTCTCCCAGGTAACAGATGAGGAATGTCCTGTCCATATCACAAAGTCCACCCAGTAGGCCTACATGTATGGGAAGCGCCCAGTGGACAGCTTCGAGGGTGGTACCTCCCTTGGCTGACATAGCCCAATTTAGATGGAGAGATGCAGGTGGCCTAAGTCGGGGATGGGAGGACTCACCTCATTGCGCAGGGCCACCATCTTCTCTGGCCCAAGGTGTGATTCTTTCTCCACCTCAGCCTGGCTCTGGCTCAAGGCCACTAGCTCCTGCCTCAGGCCAACCAGCTGGGCCTCTAGGGAACCCATCTGCTTTGGCCTTGTTTCCACAAAGCCTTCTTGGGAAGAACTAGCCAATGACAAAAAGAAAGGGCAAGGTCAAGCTGGAGAATAGGCACTGGAGGATGGAGTCAAACAGAGGCCAGGAAATGGAACTGAAGGGGTTCTCCTGAACACAACCATGACTCAGTGCGAAGGACAGAGTCAGAGGCCTGGCTGAAAGTCTTTGCTGACATCCACTCCCTGCGAGACCCTGGGCACACCATTTCCCTCCCAGGCCTCAGTACCTTCAACTGTTCTCTGAGGTCTGCTTCAGTTTGGATCCATCCTATGCACATGCTCACCCAAGGCTTCTGGCTCCACTGACCACCGTCTCCCAGGGAATGTCACTTGTGCTCGCTCTGCTCTAGCTTTCGACCCCTCCTTCCCTCCTTTTCTCTTTGCCAGTCATTTGGGGGCCTTACCTGTGCCACTCAGATGTCTTGTGCACCACCCCGCTTTCCAGCTCCTGTAAGGAAAAAGAGGACACAATGAGACCGAGGAAAACACCAACCTTTACCCGGAGAATCCTAGAGAGTCAACGAAAAGAAATCGGTGAAAACAACGCCTTCAACCAAATTGCAGGATCGAAAAGAAACCCACGAAAACCATCAGCATTTCCATACATCAACTAAGAAAATCCAGCAGAGAGAGATAAGATAGAGATATTCCATTGAAAACAGCAGTGGTCCGCATACAATACCTGGAGTATACCTAGCAAGACACACAGCGGAACTCCAGGAACACCATTACAAAACGTCCTTCCCACAGAGAGACAAATCTCAACAATTGGAGATAGATTCATTGCTCATGGGTATGTCAAGCCAACAGAACCAAAGGGACCAAAGTACCTAAATTCACTTACTTATTCAGTGTCATACCAATCCCACCACCAGGAAAGTATTTGGGCAGCAAAGAACCAGAAACAAAGGCGAGAAGCATCCGCAGGGGAATGGCGAAACCAACTGTGGCTTATGGACACAATGAAGTATTCGAATGTTGTAAGGAAGCACAAGTGTGTTGTATACAGATACACATGACAAGACTTATATGAAGTGGGGCAAAGTGAGAGAAATGAAGGAACAGTACCAGATAAACAAGCACCACAGACAACCATGTAAATGGAGCGATTAAGCAACATCCCAGACTAAATGTTGTGAAAAGATCATGTCCGAGCGTGGCCCCAAAGATGATCACGGAAGACATTCTTCTCTTCCCCTAATGCTGGGCTGGGAGTCTACTGACATGGAATCTGCACAGAAGGCAGATCTCTGATGCTGAGTTGGTTGGTTTTCCTGAAACTCGTTTCTTTCCCTCTTGTTTTATTCTTCTGCTTAAGGGATGGCTATGTGGGAAGGGGAGATGGAAAGGCTATACTGAGAAAGGTGGGGGATATGAAAGCAGAACGAGAAACTCTAAAGTCACTGATAAATATGTGTGTGTGTGTGTGTGTGTGTGTGTGTGTGTGTGTACTATTGTATAGATAAAGTTTGGTATGAATTTGGGTTATTTCTGTTATTGTTTGAACTTTTGATCTGCCTGCAAGCTCATCATGGCTCCAAAACTCAAATGGATAAGCTGTTGGTGGGTAGCCAACATGATCTGCACATGGCCTTCATGTCTTCCCCCTTGGTGAAGTGTTCTAGTCTCCCCGGGCTCCCAGGGTCACCGCACCGTGTGACAAGGTGCTAGGGGAGGCCTCTTGTGGGAGGCAACTGATTTCAATTGAAGCGGGGGAAATGATGAGGCTGAGTTTTGGAGAGGCAGACATTGAATTGGCCAAGGTCTGAAAGTCAGCAAATGGCAAAGCTTGAACTTTGATCCTGTCTCCCACACTGGGTTGAGAGGAATGAAGTGGATTGTGAGCGGTTTGTCTGGCCATCTTGTGCAAAGCATTCCTGACACTGAGCTGGACACTGACCTGGAAATATGAGGGGGACTGTCCTGATTCCCAACGGTCCTCTGTCCTGCTGCTGCCCTTGGCTGCCCACCAGGAGAGCACAGCAGGGGGTAAGGTCTGTAGTCCATAGGGGTAGAAATACCAAGCACCTAGCACATGGGACAAAAGGCTAATTGAGGTAGAGGCTGAGGTGCCAGAAGGGCAAGAAGTCCAGGGTGAGGACTTCCACCCAGACAGAGTATGGCAGTGTCACCTCTATGTGAGCTAGGACCCCAGCCCCAGGAAGGCAGATGCACTAGGGGTCACATGATCTGGAAGGCTATGGCTAGAGCCAGCTGCACCCCAAGAGCCTTCAGGAAAAGGTTCCCTCTCTCATGATCCTCTCAGAACTCATGAAATCCTTTTGGATGAAGGCAAACATGAGGGAAAAGATTCATCTGGGGAGAGGACATGGAGACTGAACCTCCAAGTGCTGCCTTGTGGTCCCAAGCCTGCTCAACACATGGCCCTGTCCATTTTGAATGAGGACCAGAAAGCTCTACAGAGAGGCTGACTGCAGACAGCCCCTGGTGACCATCTGATTGTGGTGTCATCATTCCCTAGCTGGACTTGATGTCACAGTGATCAAGTGATCACTGTGTGATGTCATGGCTCCTGTCCAAGAGTGCAGCCCTTCTGGGATCATGCAGGGAGGAACGCCCTGTCTGTTGTCACCAACTTCAAAGGGCAAAGCCCTCCAGACCTGGCATTGGCTGTGTGTCTAGCTCAGAGAACAGATTCCTTCCTGACTCAGCTCCTCTAGCAATCTCCCAGCCTCAGGTGCCAGGTCAGTGACCACTGAGGGTGCAGAGAAATCACCTCCCTGCCCCTGACATGCTCAAGGTGGGCGGGATGGCCACCCTGATCTTGCAGCATGAGGCTGTGAGGCCTGCACACACAAGGTGTATGATAAAGGTTTGTTGGATTGGATGGAGAGGAGAAGGGGAGACAGGACAGAACTCTGACATGTGCGGCACAAGAGCTTGCCCATATGTGGCCTGGGTCCCTTTTCCAGGGCTTTTGACCCTTTGGCTCCCTAAAGGCTGCCCTTCAAAGCTCTGTCTTCCAAACTTTCCTTTGGCGGCTGTGTCCCCAAGGCCTGATCCTTCCCGCCCATCTGGTGGGTGCACCCTGGGCACTCCACAAGACTCACCATAAGCCAACAAAGCCATAAGCAACAGCAAGCCCAAGACAAAGACGAGCCCCTCCTTGCGAGTGCAAAACTTCCTGGATTTCGTCAGGGTGAAGGAGGACATGTTAGTGCCTGCCCTTCCCCACCCCAGGTTCCTGGGAGACCCTCCCTGATTGGCAAATGAAAGAACCCAAAGGGTGGGCCCACTTTTGCCCCTCCCACCTCCTCCATCTGCCACTGGGTACCCAACAAGAGGAGAGCAGGGCTGGCATGGAAAGCCCTTGGGGTAAAGTGGAAGGAGAAAACGTGGCTTTTTGGAAGGCACTCATGTTGTTACGCAAGGTGACGTGTTGCCCTTTGACAGGTGCAGTGGAAGGTATGTCCCTATCAGGCCTCCATCAGAACTAGGTTCATATGGTGCTCATGAATTAGGCAGTCTTCTTTTGTCTAAGTCCTTACAGTGCTTGTCAGTTTGGGCTTGGAAGAGCTGCAGGAGGAAGCCCTGCTGAGGCAGGCTGGTCTCCATTGGCCCAGCCTGTGACCCCAAGAATCCAGGGCAGGGCTGGGCCACCTGTGGGCCTCGAGGACACATGTGTTCCACTAGGTCCTCTGGTGTGGCCAGAGTTCACAGAATCAATTGATCTGGTCAAACTGGGATTCAGTCCAAAAGTCACCCCAAGCACCTAGAAGGCCACATGTGGCCTGGAGGCCTCAGGTTCCCCACCCTTGCTCTAGAGGCTCCTGGACTCAGCCCTGGATGCCGCCTGGAAAGCTGGCCATGCTCCTCCACAGAGAAACTGCAAGCATGGCCTGGAGACCTGGAAGACTGGGCAGAAAATTCTGGATTGGAACCCCAAAGGAGGGAGTGTCCTTGGAAACTCAGGAGCCTCAGACTAGCAGAGGTGAACTCACCAGATTCACTTGTGATCAGAGGCAGGAACTAGTGAGGGGAGAGCTCCTAAGAGATACTCAGGAAGAGAGTCCCACTTAGAGTTGGAGCCAACCCACTTCCCTGAAGAGCCAAGACGAATGGGGGCTGGCGTGTGCTCTGCAGGAGGGCAGGGCACACCCAAACCACTTCTCCCATCATCTTCTTCAGTGGAGACACTCAATGAAGCCCTACTTGGTAGCTGACTCTCAGGAGCAGGTTCCAGCTGTTTCCAGCACAGCCCTGGCCCTGACCTGAGTCTCTCATAAGATTCAGTGCAAAAGTCTGCAAAAGCTGAAAAGAAACAGAGCAAAGCCCAAGGGGAAATTGACTTTGAGGACTGTGGATGCTAGATTGTGTCAGGCCCCAGGGAGGCCTCACTGACCTGATTGAGAGAAAGAAGTCCTGGAGGGAGGCAGCAGTGGTCACGCAGTGCCAGGTGTTTTCAGGCACCACTGGAATGCTGCAAAGAGCCAACTTGTCAAGATCCGAGCAGAGGGATTCCAAGGCTTCCCCCTGCCAGCCCATCCTTTCTTGCATCTACCCCCTCCCAGCCTGCCAACTCTGCAGCCGCTTCTTGCTCTTCTGCTCCTCCATCCTCCCACAGCTCTTCAGCTTTGCCTGGGGATATGTCCATAATAAGCCCATCTCCCCACAGTGTGCTAGAGTTCCTCCAGCCTGGCTCAGCTTGCCCTTGCATAGGCACGAAGAAGCTCTTCTAGGTACACTGCATCAGCGCTCCCTTGGGCACTGTGCCCACCCACTGGCAGAAGCCACCTGAAAAGTTTATTGCCATGCAGCTAAAAATGCCAACTTGGGAGGCACCATTACTGAAGTTGGATGCAGAGCCAGGCTGGTGGATAAGGGAGTGCCCTGAAGGGAAGGGAAGAAATGAGGATCCAGCCAGAAGGAGAGACAAGCACGTTTGGGATCTTGAGCCCCATCTCCACACTCCACACCCCTACCTGGAGCTAGCTTACAGAGTTCTCTCTTTCTGGTATCTGAGAGACGCCTGCCCCACCCCCAGCTATGGACCACCCTTTGAAGGAAGTGGGGCAGTGCCTGGGGTTGGGGCTCCAGGGCAGAAGAAGTGATGCCTACCTGCACCATCATCCTCAGAGAAGTACCCTGAGGTGGATCCGGGGCTCTTCCAGCCTGTTACACCTGTAAGCAGGTGAGGGGCTGGTGAGAGGCCTGGTGAGAGGCTTCGGACCATACTCGACTTCCTCCTCACAGTCCTGGGGGACAGCAAGCATGAAGAGAAAAGATATGAGGGTGAAAAAGAAGATGGTGAGAAAGAAAGGGAAGGGGCAAGGCTTGGAGGGGCATGAGACTTTGCTGGAGACTTGGAGGATGAAAGAAAATGATAGCCAAAGCCCTCTTTTGCTGTTCTTCTTCCTTCAAGAGATAACTAATTTTTCATACAGGAGGCAGGATTGAACCAAGGCCAGCTACCCCGGGTCAGTAAGAGCCTCTTTGCAAATGAAACCACCAAGATGAGGTATGAGAGGAGCTAAGAGTCATCTGAAAATGTCTCTCACCCACAAGTCCTTCACCCACCTGGCTTCACCCTAAGAAGCTTAGGCCTTGGGACCAGGGAGAAGAGGTCTATGGCAGAGAGGGCTTGTTCCCTGCCCAGTTTCAGGCCTCAAAGTCTCCAGCCTTCTCCATGCTCCAAGTTGCCTCTCCCCAGTTCCTGTTCTCAGAAGCAGAAGGCAGCAGCAGCCAAAAGTTGGGGTGCAAGAGGGGGAGGAAATTCTCTTGTTTGCGGGGAAAGCAAGCAGTAGAGTGATGGCTCCACCCAAAGTGGGGGCAGGAAAAAAATGTGCACATGGCAAGAGCCAAGGCCCTTGGCTGCCCTGGGCAGTTGTGATGGAGAAGGCAGCTTAGTCTCCTCTGGCTCCTCTTACCTGAGAGGACCCTCCCTGCAGTTGGTGTGCTGGCCAGCCACCTGGGAACTCCCTCTGCTGCTGCTGCTGCTGCTGCTTTGCCCATCAACAAGTGCCTGGTATCGGAGGCGCAGGTGCTCACTGCGCCGAGACATCCTCCAAGTGTTTGACTTGAGTAATTCTAGACATTCCACAAAGAAAGAAAGAGAACCAGTGCTTACTGACTGAGTCACTTGACGCTATTTTCTGGGAGACCCTCAGACGGCACTGATGCTGCTGACCTTGAAAGGAAGGGACCACATTCCCCAGACTTCTTCCTCCAAAAGGAGTTTCTGAAGCAGCTGCAAGGCTCATTCATGATGGCTGCCTACCATGGTCAACCTCACCAGCCTCATGGCCTCAGCTCAGCCCTGCCTCAGCCTGGCAACCAAGTGTACTCTCCCAAAGATCTGTGGTAGGCTTCCCTACTGAAGCAGAGCCCCCACTCTCTGCTAACTCCTTTCTGGATCTCCCCCTTACTGCATCTATCCAATCTGAGCTTGTGACACTGGCCTTGTGTTTGTTCTCAGCTTGCTTCACAAATACCACTTTTTCTTCTCCCCATAGATTATAAGCTTGAAGGCAATGACTGCCTTCTCTTCCAAGTCTTTGGCTTCCCCCACCACCCAAAACCCTGTTCTGGTAGGTGGAAGGGGTCACATGGACTGGTCCACGCTAACCACCTGATCCTAACCCTGACCCTTAGGCAATGGGCTTCATGAGAATCAGGCCTAGCCCTCCAAAGACTTTTTATTCCCTCATTTCATCATCACAACTCTTAAGGAATATCATAGTCATACTACAAATGAGTTAATGTTGACAAGTGGTCTCCCCCCTCCAAGGCAGGCCCTAGGCCTTCCCACTGCCTTCTCATGAACTCCAACCTTAATGCCTCCTCAGGGATTTCTCAACTGTCAAGCCCTGTGCAGCTCCATATTGTAGTTTTGTTTTTGTTTTGTTTTGTTTTCTGTTGTGTTGTGTTGTTTCGCTTTGTTTTGTTTTGTTTTGTTTTGTTTTGTTTTGTTTTGTTTTGTTTGTGGGATAGGGAGATCAACTAGGAGGAAAAGAATGCTTCGCATTGGGGGATTCAAGTGAGGCATGGACACCCCTGTAGCTGGGGGTTTATGTAGGGGAAGTTAGGGGGGGTGGAAGAGAGGCAGATGTGCCTTCCTGTAGAGGCTGTGCAGAGAAAAGAAGGGGCAGCCACTGTGTCCTGGCACACAGGAGGGAATCTTGTCCTCAGCCAGGGCTGCAGACATTGCAACTGCCCACACCTCCTCTGCTGTCCCTGTCCTGGCAGGGGGAGACCCACCCCCGTACCTGTAGACATTGCTTGCTCCCTGCCCTGGCGGCCACTTCCATGGAAAAGTGTCCCTCCCAGTCCTTTAGCGGAGACCCGGATAACACGTAAGGGAGCTCGTGGGAAAAGAGAGGGCGGTGGAAAGTCATGCTATGTCTTGGCATTCGGAAATGCGCGTCAGCCAGGACTATTCGATTTTGGTGTTGTTTGTAGGAGAGGGAGATGAAGCAGGGGCCAAAGAGCCTGTGGTTGAGGGACTCCGCTCAGTCATGGACATCGCTGTTCCTGGGGATTTGGGGGCAGATGTTAAGCGAAAGAACAGAGGCAACTGCGTCCAGGAGCAAGACTTTAGCGTGTAGATGAGCCCTGTGAATGAGGGTGAGAGGCAAGAGGAGGTGCAGACACTGTTCCCCAGCACAGAGGAGGGCACAGAGCTCCAGACCATCCCCCCTCTCTACCACCTTGTCTCCCGGCCACAATGTGCCCGGGCGCGTCTCTATGGGCTACCTGCTGATCCCGCTAGGTGTGCTCTCCGACCGCACCGTCCAAGTCCGCATCCGCATCGGCGTTCGCGTCCCTTGGTGTCTACCGGTGTAACGCCTGAAGAACGCTGGGCGCGAGCTAGAGGGAATGCGGTGACAAAGAGGGCGCGAGGTCGGGCTAGGCACAGCCAGGTTTTCATCCTGGCAGGATCATCCTTGGCCTGGGGCTGCCCCAGTTGAGAGGGTTTCCAGCAGGGCAGCTGGGCTGTAGCATTGGGAGGATGAGAGCGGCCAAAACGTGGCTTCAAGTGCGTCCTGAGCCCCATTCAAGCCAGCCAAAAGGGGCATGTGGGGCCAGGGGACTGGGAGGGTCAAGCCAGTGCACGGGACTGTGGTCATCACTCCCTCCCCCCAAACACAAACAGGTACAGGCAAACGCGCTCCCACACACATACATACAAGGAGAGACACACTGACACCGTTAGGAAAAGCAAGCCAACTTGGTCTCAGAGGGACGTGGAAGGGCACGCCAGGGCCTTGGCTCGCCTTGGAGGCGAGCTCTGACCTTTGACACAGGATTTTGGGTTTTTTACAAGAGAAGGATATGAAGCAGGGGGGCAAGCAGGCCAGGTACTGAAGCATTCAACTCAGTTATGGACATGCCACTAGATGAGGATTTGGGGCAGAGAGGAGAGTGGATGGAGTAGACACTTGTGCCCAGGGCCAAGTCTGGGAGGCATGCAGTTGTGCCATGGCGCAGAGGGCAGTGAGACAAGCAGAGGTGCAGCCACTATGGCCTGGCATAGAGGAGGGCACTGTGCTTGCTCCCAGCTCTACAGATCCTTCACCTCCCTAACATCTGTCCTGGCAGGGCCCTGGCCTGGTGCCGCTTGTCCAGGAACCTAAGGAGATAGCTAAGTCCCTCCCCACACCACTGGGTCTGCATCCACAGCATTCTGGAGAATTCCCTGCTTGCCCTTTCACTCTGGTATAGAGGTGGGGAGCCTTCAGTTTGCTGGGGATCATGTTTATGAACTTCCCAGTGGGCTAGGGGTCATCCTCCCCATGAGGCTGGAGCAGCTGCTCCCACTGCCCTCTACACCCAGCAGCCCTTCCATGCTGCCCACCCTGCCCCCGTTGTGGCTCCTACTGGAGCTGACTTGGACTTTATTGCAAGGATGGGGATGTCCACAGCCCATTGAAACTCTGGCTGCTGAGGGAGGGAGTGGAAATGGCCCTCCAATATTCAGGAGAGCCACCTGTGCCTCAGAGAGGCCCAGTGGGTCAAGGCCCACTAATATGTATTTTTTTATTAGTATAATTTTCATTCCTTAAGATTTCTTTTAAAACTTGGAGTTTCAAAGTCTCTCCCTTTCTCCCTGCCCATCCCCACAGCCTCATTGAGACAGCTGTATTTGCAGTCATGCAAAACATAGTTATAACACTCATGGTGGGAAAGAAAACATAGACAAAAAGAGTCAATAAAAATAAAGTGAAAAAAAAAAGAGTTGCTTCAATTTCTCTTCAGACACCATTAGTTCTCTCTCTGGGGATGGATAGCATTTTTCGTCCTAAGTCCTTCAGCGTTTTCTTGGATCCTTCCTTGTAGTGCTGAGAAGAGCTAAGTCATTCCCTGCTGATCATCTACAATATTGCTGTGACTTTGTACCCAGTACATTTCACTTGGCATGAAACCTGTGTAAGTCTTTCCAGGTTTTTGGAGAGCATCATGGTTATCACTTCTTGTAGTATTTATATGTTAGAAAAATTTGGTCTTTAGCAGAGAAACTTGCCTCGAAAATCTTTTGACATTTCATATTGCTGCCTGTATTTCTTTCTTTCTTTTTTTTCTTTTTGGTTAGGCAATGGGGTTAAGTGACTTGCCCAGGTTCACACAGCTAGTAAGTGTTATGTGTCTGAGGTTGGATTTGAACTCAAATCCTCCTGATTCCAGTGCCAGTGCTCTATCCTCTGTGCCACCTAGCTGCCCCAGTTCCATCCTATTCCCCTACCCGCATTTCTTCTGTTCTCTCTCTCCTTTCACCACGTCCCTCTTCAATTGTTTTGTTTCTGATTACCACTTACCCCCTTTTGCCCTCCCTTCTTTCACCTGCCTTCTCTTAAACTCTTCACCATCTATTTTCCTGTAGGGGAAGATTCATTCCTATACCTCTTGCCTGTGTATCTTCTTTTCCAGTTACATGGGAAAACAATTTTAACATTTCTAGTTAAAATTTTGAGTTCCAAATTTTCTCCCTTCCTCATTCCCCACCCACCCTCACTGAGAAGTAATTCAATATACTTTATACCTCTGTAGTCATGTCAAACACTTGCATAATGGTGACGTAGTGAAAGACTAACTGTATTTCCCTCCATTCTTTCCTTTGTTCTTCTATGTTGTCCTTCCATTACTTACTCTACACCTCTGAAAGGATCCCTCCCCTATCATCCTCTTCCCATAAATCTACCCTTCTATAGCCCCTTATAACCTATTCCCTCACCCTGCCCGCTAGAGATTCCTTCCTTTTCCTCTCCATCCTCCCAATCCCTTCATTGTTTAATTTCTTCTAAATGTCGAAGACTTTTTTACTCTTCTAAATATATATGTATTGTTCCCTGTTCAAACCATTCCTCATGAAAGTACCTTAAGAGAAGTACCTCCATCTTGTTCCCCTGGTGGCTCCAGAGGAAAAAGTGAAGAGAAAATGAGGCTGCTGAGTTTGCACAGCCCTCCCCACTTAATTCCAATTCGCTGGCAAATAGTGGCATCACCTTCCTGATGTCATGGTCCTCTTTAAGAACAAAGGACAAATAACAACAGCAATAAGGATATGTGTATGTTTTTTTTCTGTTCCTGGATTGTCTTTGCTTTCCCAATTCTTCTGCTCTTCTATGCATTTGCATCTCTTTATGCCCACCTGACTTTTCAGAAAGTCTCCCTGTACTCTGTGTTTCACAGTTGTCTGTGTTGGTGTCTTATCTCCAGCCTCCTGTCCTCATGAGACTATAAAGTTCAGGAGGGCGATGATCTACTTCTTATCTAGACTGTATGTCCTCCAGCACCTAGAGTATTTTGCTTGTCACATGGCAGGCACTGGACAAAAGTTTGTTGACTTTTGTTGACTTGCAGACTAGAATGAGAATTGTTTCTGCCATCTTTGGAAGTGTACAAGTGGAGTCTTGATGTCTACTCTTCAATGATGTTGTAAAGGGAGTTCCTCTTTAGAAGCAAAGTGAACCAGAGGGCCTCTGAAGGCTCCTGCAGTTCTGAGAGTCTGTGATTCTCTATGTAAGGAGCCTTATTCTGGGCATGCCCACATCACCTCTAATGGGTTTCCTGCACCAGTGGCTGCTTGTAGAATGGGATATTATGCCTCTCCTGCTCACTCTTGCTGAGTTCAGAGGATAAAAAGCACAGTTAACCACAACTTAGTGACCATGAACTGAACCAGTCAGAGGGGAAGCATTTCCTTCTCCTGGCCTCTTCCTTTGACTTCTCCTCAGAGATATGGGCCTGGAGCTTATTTTTTCTATTGTATTCCATGTGTTCTTCTCAGTTCTAGGTGCTGGTGGTGCTCCCCATTGGAGTTGAAGCCACAGTGACCTTGAAGCCGAGATTCCAGAAGGGATTTTGCAGGTGGCTTGCTGAGAATCTCATAAAAATTGGGTTATCTGGGACTGGAGCGTGGGGAATAGGGTGGGTCTTGTACCTGGAACTTGGGTCTAGGCTGTACAGGAATTAAGCTAAAATATATTCCTACTCTCTTTCTCCTTTCTAGAATATGAGGTGGTATATGGTGGGGGAGGGGAGGATTCTGCCTTTCATGTGTTTGGGGAGTTAGTTTGTAAATTTGTAATTATATCTTTTTTCTAGTCTATTACCTCTGAAAGATCTAATTTGTCAGTTAGGGTCTAAATGTAAGAAAAAAGTAAATTCAAAAGTAAAATTTTGTATTTGGCTATACTTGTGATTTTCATCCTTTCATGTGGGCTTCTACAGGATATTGAAATATTGGCTGTTTGGAGAACTTACTAAATAGTGCTGGGGAAATGTCAGAACTAGATTTTTGGTAGGATATAACCAAATCCATTTTGTTCCATATTTGACATTCTTCTTAGTATGACTGAGGAATGAACCAACTGCAACAGCTGGTTCCCTTCAGTGTCTTCTTTGCTTCCCTAAATGGTACAAAAAGGCTTAATTCCTAAAAAGGCAGGACTTCAACAGTGTCTGGACTATTTCTCTGCCTTATCTTGCCTGACAGGTAGCTCCCTTTAGTTTACTAAAACTAACTATACTGATAAAGACACATCTCTTCTCTGTCTTCTTTACCTAAAGATATTCATTGTCTTTCACAATCATACTTCTTTTGTGTGTGTGTGTGTAATCAACTCCAATTATATCTTCTATGTCAAGGGTATTAAGAACACAGTTGAGGTAGGTAGGTGTCACAGTGGGTAGAGCACTGTCCCTGAAGTCAGGAGGACCTGAGTTCTAATCCGGCCTCAGACCAAACACTTGACACTTACTAGCTGTGTGACCCTGGGGAAGTAACTAAACCCCAATTGCCCCCCCCAAAAAAAGATCACAGTGTCCCCTGCAATCTGGACAATTGTCATAAAACTTTTTGTCCCTGCTTTCCTAAGAGAGAAGAAATCCAAATTTTGTCTTTTCTTTTTATGGGGTGTTTACTACTCTATTTCTTAGCCAGTACCAAGTCATTTTGATGATTCCTGCTTCATAATACAATTTGAGAACTAGTATGGCTAGGCCACCTTCCTTTGTATTTCTTTTCATTAATTCCCATGATATTTTGGACCTTTTGTTCTTCCACTTTAATTTTGCTATTATTTTTTTCAGGCTCTATAAGAGTTTTTGGCAGTTTGGTATGTCAGTGAATATGTCAATTCAGGTAGAATTGTTATTTTCATTACATCAACTTGGCATATGCCTCAGCAACGGATATTTTTCCAATTATTTAGATATGACTTTGTTTGAGTCAAAAGTATTTGTAATTGTGTTCATATAGTTCCTGGGTTTGTCTTGGGAGGTAGATTCCCTAATATTTTACATTGCCTACAGTAACTTTAAATGGAATTTCTCTTTCTATCTCTTGCTGTTGGGATTTGTTAGTAAAATATGGGACTGCTGAGGATTTATGTGGGTTTATTTTATGTCCTGAAACTGTGCTAAAGTTATTTATGATGATGATCGTTTTTTCTTTACTTGATTCTCTAAGAGATTCTCTTGAATCTCTTAGAATTTTCTAGGATTCTCTATGTGTATCGTCATATCATCTGCAAACAGTGACAACTTTGTTTCTTCTTAGTTTTCCTTAGAGTGAACCAGCTCTGCTACTTGGTCACAGTGTATTGCCCTCGTGATAAGCTGCTGTATTCTCTTTCCTAGTGTTTTATTTAAAATTTTTTCATCTCTATTCATCAGGGAAATTGGCCTATAACTTTCTTTCTCTGGTTTGGTTCTTCCCCGTTTAGGTATCAAAACCATATTTGTAATATAAAAAGAATTTGTTAGCACACCTTCATTGTCTATTTCCCCAAATAGTTCATATTGTACTGGAATTAATTATTATTTAAATGTTTAATAGATTCAGTTGTAAATCCATCTGGCTGTAAAGATTTTTTCTTAAGGAGTTCATTAATGGTCTGGTTAATCTGTTTTTTGGAAATGGTTTTTCTTTGAAGTGTTTTCAAGTATTTTATTTTCTCTTCTGTTAATCTGGGCAATCTACAATTTTGTAAATATTCATCCATTTCATTAAGATTGTCAAATTTACTGGCAAACAATTGGGCAAATTGCTTTAATTTCCTCTTCATTGCTGGCGAATTCTCCTTCTTCATTTTTGATACTGGTAGTTTGATTAAGATTTATCTATTTTTTTGTTTTTTTCATAAAACCAGATTTCAGTTTTATATATTACTTCAATAGTTTTATTACTCTCAATTTGATTCGTCTCTACATTAATTTTTAGAATATCTAAATTGTTATTCAGTCAGAGGAAAGGCTGAAGGGAGAATATATTGTGCTACAGCTGAAGTAAACAGCAAGGGCAGCAATCCTGACCTCAGATAAATCAAAAGCAAAAATACATATTATGTATAAAGAATGTACATTTTAAATGAAATAGATGAATATTTTTTTAAAAATACAATGGATTAAAAGAAAAAAAGAAGAGAAATTACACAATATTATATCAGTACAAGAAAATGAATGGGGTATAAAGAAAAAAAAACCTCTAGGACCAGATGGCTTTATTTCTTATTTTGAAAATTTTATTTTTAAGTTAATTTCCAAACATTCTACTTTCTTAAGCCTACACCTCATTGACTAGGCAAGTCATATGCTACCCATTATATATGCAAAGTCATGCAAAACATATTTCCACAGCAGCTATATTTTGAAAAATAAAAACAAG